ATATTAACGATTTAAAAACAATTTTTGGAAGAACCGATTTATAAAAAATAATAATACAATGAGGTAAGCACTTTTCGATTATCTCTGCTTTCGGCCATCACAATATTTATATTTCCGTTAGCATTATCAATTTTCTGTCTATTATCATAAGTAGTGTAAGAAGAGAAATCATAACACGTTGTTATCATTGTTATTATCACCAATACTAGCATTATTATTATTACATAACAATAATAGTTGTTATATACTATTAATTATCAATCAGTTTTAACACAATTATTAGCAAGCATAATCATAATGAAGTATAGAACAATCAAAAGCATAACTTTTAAGAGGCAGAAAATAAGACTAAAAAAATAATAGAGCAGAAGAATGCTGCAATTTTCTCCCTTCTTTAAACAATTTATTTCTCGAGAAGGCAATAATTATTCTCGAAAATTAAGTATTTGGTGAGTTTGGCAAGATATAAGGCTTTTAGAATTATCTAGTTTTTAAGTAAAATTGTATTTCAAATTAATCATTTTATAATAATAGTTATCTTCTGAAATACTCATGATAGATCAATTATATTTCATTTCATTTTCAGCAAACTTAGTTCGTTTCAAAAGAAGAGAAAAGTACTTAATTGGTAAAAATTACGGTAAATGTTAATTAATTATGGTATAAATTATATTTTTGTTTAACAATAAATAACTCACATTTGTGGTTCACTCTTATGTATTATTTAGTAGTGTGTATAATGAATACGTGATGTAACTTTGGCAAGAAAAGATTAGCTTTTTTTGCAAAAATTTTCATGCTTTTATGAGAATAAATAGCGTACTTTTGCCTGCTTAATTCATGTAAAACATTCTTCAACACAGATATTTTTTAGCTCACATTTACCGTTTTCCTTCTTTTTTTTTGAAATAATTAACAAAAATTATATTTTCAACTTAAAGTCACTAAAAATGAACATCGAATTTAATATTTTAGCAAAGAATATTGGTGTAAACAGGCGTGAAATACTTGAAGTAAGTTTCATTCGAATTTTCTTTTTTCCTTTCCTCGATAAAATTTATTAGTTTATCTTTAAATTTAAAATTTTAAAAACATTATTAAAATTGAATTTTTCATCTTCAAGCAAACTAAAATGACTTATGGTTAATTTAAAAAATTATCAAATTTTAGCTAAAATGATTGCTGTATTTATAAGGGAAATGCTCATTTTATCATTATTTAAATAATGACAAAAAGGTTAAATTTAAAAAATTTTCTTTCTTTGTTATTTTTTAGTTTTCAAATTAAAATTTAAAAAATTGCAGCCTGAAAATAAAATATGGCAGAGCAAAGAAACGACGATGCAATTTATTTAAAAGAACGCAATCATAGATATATTCGACGAGCAATAACTATTTTTGCAGTTGTATTAACTTTATTTGCGATTATTTTGGTAACTCTTTCGTTATCGCTTGGATCAAAAATTGATGAGTTAGGTAAGTTTTGCATAATATTACTTAGTTAAATTAAAGATTGATTGTATATTTATTAAGCATAGTTGCAATCATATTTTTTATTAATTGAATTACTATTCATAACTTGAAGAATCAATCATCAAAAAGTTTTTTTGTGAGTAATACTTATTTAGAAAATATTTTCAATATTTTTTTTAATGAAAAGTATTTTTTAGAAAATTTTTTGATACTTTCTTTTAATGAGAAATATTCACGAACTCAGAAATAATCTTGAATTATGCATTAATATGTGCTTATGTGTAATCAAAATTAGTCTATAATCTTAATTATAATGATATGAATTCAGGCAAACAAATGTATTAATAGTCGAAAATTTGATTAAAACAGACGATTCTTCAGACTAAAATAGCTATAGCTTTCATTAAAAAAACTTTTTTAGTCTTGACATTTGCATATTTCTTGACGATGGCCTCTTACTGCATGCTAAATTTTTCACAAAATACTTTACCTTCATCTTTGTGTTACAAGGGCAGTTTTTTTCTTTTTTTTGCATAAAATTTATTTTAATCCTTCTGAATTTTTGTTTTTGGTAGTAGCAATATTCAGGAATACTTTATAAGTTTAGTTTATTTCTAATAAAATTATATTATTTCTTGGAAGTGCATGAAGCATAACATTTGTTTAAAATTTTAGCACAAATAAAATGTCTTACTTTGCATAATTTTTAAAGGTTTAAAAAAGTCTGTAAAATGCGAAATATCGCCGAAAAAGTACTCTAAAGCTAAAATATTTTATTTATATTTTAATGCATTTATTTGTGACGGCACGCAATTTCAAGTAATATTCACAATGCTGAATTCTTCATTTATTAAAAATATGCTTTAGTCATATTTATTTACGAACTTTTCATCATTTACTTATCGCTGTTTGATCGCAAAAGTTCCATAGGGCATTATATTTTAGAATCGTAACGAAACAGATATATTCATAAATTGGTAGATTGATACAGTTCTTCTGAAAAGTTGAAAACAAAACCTCTATAACTGTCACATTTGTAAACATGCTAGCTTAACACATCACATTGTAATCTTTACTATGCTATCACATTATTAATACTAATATTAATATTATTAAAAATTGCTTACTATTTAATATTGCTGTTACTACTAATTATTACCACTACTTCCAGAATACACGGTTTTTATGTGAATGTTTTGTGAGACGAGCCAAATAAAAATTTTGAATATAAAGTTTTAGCATTCTTTCATTAAGGTTGATTCACACCAATTTAATTTCAAATTTCAAGTTCCACATTTGTTAACTATGCAAATGACACTTACAAGAAATTGCTTTCATTTGTATATGTTTTTTTGAAGTATTGAAAAATGAGGTCATTTTGACCAATAGTAAAGCAATTTTTTGTGTAAAATTTTTGGTTAGCTTATTTTGTTTCAGAAATATAGCGTTGATTACTTCTTTTTCCACTTTATTTTTCACATTTATTACTTATTAATTTTCTACAAAACTTATAAATGGAATATAGTCGTACTGTAAATGGAATATAGTCGTACTGTAACTCGTATAATTGTACATTCTACGCAATCCATCCATTTTCAATCGAAAATTTTTCGTTCTCATTTTCAGAAAGATATATTGCTTTATTGAAAGAACGATTAATTAATGAAAAAAATATCATCGAGTGAACAGTACCATTTATACTTCAAAAACCTTTTCTTCATTTTATTCAAAAAATTAAACAGATTTTTGAATGATTTGAAATTCACTCAAGGTTAAATTTATGTACTTTTTGCTGTTTTCATTGCTAAGAGTTCATTTTTGCTATTCGAAAATTTCATATTTTATATTAAAATTTTTGAGTATATTTTGTTTGTAATCTTAAGTATTATTATCCAAGTATTGTTCATTTTGTTCTGTAAATTTTGTGCAAAAAAAAAAAGAATTGCCAAACTTTTCAATAAGATTAATTTTTCGGTGTCATTTATTGATGATACTATATATTCATAAATAACTTTC